GCCTCCGGTCGGTCGGTTCTGATGTTAGCCTCCTGTCGGTCGGTCGGTTCTGATGTTAGCCTCCGGTCGGTCGGTTCTGATGTTAGCCTCCTGTCGGTCGGTCGGTTCTGATGTTAGCCTCCTGCCGGTCGGTTCTGATGTGAGCCTCCTGTTGGTAACATGTTTCTTTTTCTCTACTCACAGAGACGGTTGCGTCACCTCCGGAGCATTGCTGCCAGGAACATAGTGAACAAGAATGGCTCTCCACTGCTGGACACTTATTTCACCCTCCACCTCTGTGTAGGAGATCGCATTTCTAGAGGTCAGTAGAAACACCAGAAACAAACAAACTATCACCTCTTCTTGTTTTTCAGAAGCTCTCATTTGAATCCAAAAGGCAACCAATGTTCTCACATTCCTTTAATATCCACCAGTTATTGACCAGTCCCTAAAAAAAAAAAAAAAAAAAAAAAAAAAAATTCAGCTTTCTTGTAAGCTGTGTTTGAAACGCAGTGATTTGATCTCTAACAAAGGTTTTAAATGTCCAAGCAAAGCGGACTCTTAGTGCTCTGGATTTGAGACGATTACAAAAAACATACAAAGTAAAATGCAGTCAAAGAAGCTAAAAAATGCATTTACTTTTGTTTTATATGGCACAATCAGAACTGGTTTGCTTTAATGAAATATAACAATTTCATTTTCTGCATTTCTGTCATGTAAGGAACATCTGGGGCCTAAAGCCAGGCTGGGATTGATGCTCGGTTGTTTCGTTAAAAGCGGCAATATTAATTTATTTTCTGTGTGCTTGGGATGTGTGGAGTAATTAAAGGACAACTCGCCCCCAAACCATCTTTTGTTTGCTGATAAACTGTCTGAAGATGTCTTACAGTGCTGTTTACACATACCAAGCATTATTTTTATTTATTTACAGCATCCTGAGGTTAAAAGGCATTGCTATATGGAGTGAATTTTGTTTCATTGTTATTGCAGACAAAGAACATGTTTTTGTTAAAAAAAATTTAAAACAAACTCTGAAATATATTTTTTTCAGTATTTTTTTCTGATTTTTTTTTTTTTCTTTTAAAGATTTACCTTTTTAAAATATATTTTATTACTCTCATTTTCAGATTGATTTTTAGGAATTGCTTTCTTTTCAAATGTGTTTTACAGATATCATTGTTCTAACTTCAAATAAGACTGCTGCTAAAGTCCATGCAGACCAATAGAAATGTGTCTTTACCCGTCAATGTGATCGAATGTGATCAGTAAAACGTAATCTGAAAGAAATAATTAATTAAACTGAGTCTGAAAAAGAGAAATCTGGAAAAAAAAAAATCTAGTCTAAGAAAACAACTAAGACATTTCTAAAATTTAATTTCCGGATTGTGTTTTTTTTTTCTAATTACCATGTTAAAAAAAACTTTCTCAAAATCATATCATTAGCTAGATGTAATGTAGGCCAATTCAGGGGAGCTAATGTCAGCTGCTCCACCCTGGACAGTGGTGGTCCATTTAGGGATTCATGATAAATGATTTTGTTAGGATTGAAATGAAAATAAATTGTGTTTGTTTACTTTACAAGAGTGGTTAAAAATAGTTGATGCGTTAAATTTGGATTACAAAAAATGTCTGTATCATCAGCCTGTTGCAGGGGTCGGCAACCCGCGGCTCTATGTTGAGGCTCCCTGAAGCTTTTTCAAAAATTTATCGAAATGGAAAAGATGTTTTTTTGCAAGTCAAACTAATTATGCTTTTCAATGCTGTACAATTTTTTATAATAAAAAAAAATAATAAATAAATAAATAAATGTAAACATTTCTGGCAACGAAGATTTGCTTCACAGCCTGCAGCACACGTTTCAGCGCTGCGCGGTGCCTGGCAGGTGGCTGTTCTAAACAAAGCGGCGGCTGAAGATAGATGATGAGAACAGAGGATTCAAAGATGAATGGACCTTTCTTTCATTACCAATGCGGAAAGATTGCCTGCATGCATGTGTTTGCATAAAAACCTGCTGGTATTAACCTTCTGTCATTGCTTCATTATTCCCCCAATCTATTAGACGTGCTGACCTTCTCATAGGATTGCAATCACTACAGGAGGTTGAATTCAACCCAGAGATGCTGAACAGGTTCTTAGGTTGCTTATTTGTTTTGTGTGAGGGAAGCTATTGACCACTTGGATTATTCCTTTAATCAAAACAAGGACTTTTTGAATTGATAGCAGCGGCAGAAAGACTTTTCATAGATCCCTCCCCCCTTGTGGGACTGGTGCCCATCTCCAGCCATCTATGATCGCAGGCAGGACACGCCCTGGACGGGTCACCAGTCCATCACAGAGCAGCTTTTTCATAGATGTTCAGTTATTCTTTACAAGAAGTCCAAATAAAGTTGAAAGTTGTGAACAAACAAGGAAGGAGATTATTTCCTGCAAGCTTTTAGTGAGCATTGCTCGCATTGTACGCCCTTTACTAAAAATATTAATAATGTAATGTTTTGATCTGGGAGCTGGCAGGGAGACAGATACAGCACTGCTGATGCAGATCGCTATGATCACTCCCCTGAAACAGTTTATTAACGCCTAAATTAACATAACATTTCAAAACGCTTTTATTATTCTTGTGCCTGCGGTTTGCACCATATACCTGAAAACGATAACATCTACTTCCAGCTGCCACAAGCAGAAGGGGAAAATCCCCAAGAGGCGACCAGGCCTGAGACAGCTGCTGCTGGGGATTCCCAGTGAGTGCACACTGTCCATCTGTGGGGGTCTGAGTGGCTCAGACAGCGAAATAATATCATAAGGCAGGATCGAGATCTTGATGAACTGGCTGCACAGACGCTGTCTGCCATTGAACACAGGAGCAGCATCTGGACACACTTTACTGGAGCATCAAAGATGTCTGACCTTAATGTGGCTGTGATTGAATGTGATCAGTAAAACGCAGTCTGACAGAAATAATTAGTTAAACTGAGTCTAAAAAAGAGAAATCTGAAAAAATCAAGTCTAAGAAAACAGCAAAGTTACTCTTAAAACCTTTTTTGTTTTGTTTATCCAAGACGTTTCTAAAATTTCATTTCCGGATTGCTTTTTTTCTAAAGTTTTGTTTCCGGATTGTGCTTTTGTTTTTCTAATTACCATGTAAAAATAAATAAATAACTTGTTCAAAATTCACTTCATATTACTGCATATGTTTTTTTCTTTAGCATTACACTTTCTGATTGTTTGAATTAACCTATGAAACATAATATTGTACCTAAAAATGATCTCATATCTTACTAATAAAATTTCCACCTCTATCAAGCACACATACTTCCCTTAATCAGGACAAAAATAGTGTTGCATCAAAAACAAAAGGTTAGCTGCATTCCACCTCGACATGCCGGAAACAGCCTTTCAGAGTCTAAATTTCCACTCCGTGGAAAGCCTAAAGATGTGATGCACCCTACGAAATATTCCTAGCTAAAAGCCTGATTTCCTGGATTGACCTGCTGGTACTTTGAATCAGTCTCAAACAGAAGATATGTGAGATGACTCAGGCTGGTTGCACATAGAAATACATAATCTGACTAAACAACTACTTTACTTTACTATACATGGCTGCTATGCAGAAATAGACCAATAATAATAATAGTAATATGAATTCTTTGGACTCAAAGAAACCGTCTGCATTTAGAAACTTGTTTTAGGTGAGCCTCACTGAGCTTTATTCTGATCTGGTCTGGTAAATGCTGGAGATTCTGTGCAGGTTTCTTATAGATGTTAATCTTTTTCATGTGTTTTTTGTTTCAGACTTTTACAAGAGTGAAGTCATTCGAGACTCACTGGTGAGTATGCTGCCACTTCCTGTCTGTCTGCTGTTATGTCATCAACATAGCGTTATGGCATCTGGTTCATTTAGTGGGATACAGCCGAGAGAAAACACCAGCTCTTTGCATAACTGCAAGAGGAAAGCTGGCAGATAATTGTTAGTCTTATCATCATTTATCAAAGGCTTCTCTACTGATTGTGTTGGTTCAACCCCTTGAAGCCTGAATTGATATAAATGTACATATAAAAACACATTTTGTGTTTCCTTTTCCCTTTAATGCCATGCCAATTTAAAATGGTTAATGCTACTAAATAAATAGAAATGAAGGTAATGTATATTTTGTAACAGCAGTTGTAACTACATAATAACATACACTTTGACTGGCACTGGGGTGATGCATAAACATTATGATGGCTGTTTACCTACACTGCAAACTGAAAATGTCTTTAAATAAGTGTATTTACCCTTAAAGGGATAGTTCGGGATTTTTGACATGAATCTGTATGGCATCCCCATCACCAGT